TTCTTCTCTTGTCCTCATTGTCTATTTCTCCTTCTCCTTTTTCTTCTTCTCTTGTCCTCATTGTCTATTTCTCCTTCTCCTTTTTCTTCTTCTCTTTTCCTCATTTTCTCTTTCTCTTTCTCCTTTTTCTTCTTCTCTTGTCCTCATTGTCTATCTTCTCCTTCTCCTTTTTCTTCTTCTCTTTTCTTCATTGTCTATTTCTCCTTCTCCTTTTTCTTCTTCTCTTGTCCTCATTGTCTATCTTCTCCTTCTCCTTTTTCTTCCTCTCTTTTCCTCATTGTCTATCTTCTCCCCCCCCTTTTTTTCCCTTCTCCTTCTCTCCTCCTTTGTCCCTTCCAGCTTTTGCCGAGCGGCGTGAGAGAAGTTTCAGCCGGTCCTGGAGTGACCCAACTCCCATTAAGCCTGAAAACCTCAGTGATTCCCGAGAAAGTACGTTCCTCTTTCTTGAGCATCCAATTCAACTGGAAACAGGTCAAGGAGTGGGGGAAGGAGAGGAGATAAAAATTCCAACCGAAGCCGGTTTGAGCACTGAGGGCGGAGACAGCAAGGGTTGACTTGACCTTGTAGATATTTTTTTAATTTAGTTTGTCAAACATGGACGAGATAACAGGTATAAGTATAAACGGACATGAACACAGGAAATGTGTATGAATAAATGGGGACAGTAGGACAGGGACGGAAGGCACGCTGGTGCACTTATGCACGCCCCCTTTATGGACGGGGGGGACCTCTTAGGAATGGGGTGAGGTCCACAGTGGACAGTTTGAGGTTGAAGCTGTGGGGGATTTGAGAATGTAACAACGGAGTCAGGTAGAACATTCCAGGCGTTGACCACTCTGTTGCTGAAGTCGTATTTTCTGCAATCGAGTTTGGACTGGTTTCCCGTGAGTTTGTATCGATTGTTTCCCCCTGTATTATTGTGGTTGAAGCTGAAATAGTCATTGACAGGTAGGACGTTGTAGCGGATAATTTTGGGTAGGTTTTTCCAAGCCCAAAATTTCAACCCTGGTGGTCTATCTGTTGTCAGCAGAGGAGTGGAGGACTCTTCTCGTGAAATATTTCAATTGTATTAATATCCGATATACAGTGCGGATTCCAGGAAGACGAGCTGTACTCGAGAATTGGTCTAGCAAAGGTTTTGCGATGAATCGTGCGGTCCTTGCAAACTTCCCAATTGGGCCTTCCAATCTCCTCCTCACCAGCTGTGTGTAGTCATGGTTGAACAGTGATCAGAGTGCTTGAGATCCTTCTACTCCACCCTTATTATTCCTAGCCAGGAGCCGCTCAGGAGTCTTGAGGGAAGGATTCAGAGAGACTCTGCAATGCAGGGATTTTGGGACGTGCGGTGGAAGGATCTCCTTATGCTTCATTGTGGAAGGAGGACACGGTCCATGTAGGCTCCATCATTCTTGGGAGCATGTGGAAGTTTCTGCACCAGCAGAGATGGTCCTCAGAGCTCTTGCCTTCTTTCTCCCCAGGCCATGAATTCCAGGACTCCTGCTGTGCCGTTGACAAAGACGTTGACTTGAACTGGGAGGCAGAGAAAGAACTGGAAGCAGCCGCCTGCAGTGGGGAGGACTTCGTTCCCCCCAAAATCATGGTAGGAAACCCTTGAGGACCACAAGGAATTCAGGGGCCCACGGGGATGGGGGAAACCAGTCCTGTCCGCCTCTTGCTCGTCTTGCCCCCTCCCCAGCTTTCGTAGTTGGAAGGAAAACTCTTTGCCACTTACAATTCTCTTTTTGGTTTTCTATTTTTCTTGTTCCTCCTCTCGCCCCAGCTCATTTCCTCCAAAGTGCCCAAAGCTGAGTATGTTCCAACAATTATCCGTCGCGATGACCCATCGATCATCCCCATTCTCTACGTAAGTCTTGGACTAGAGCGGGGGGAATGGCCAGCCTGCCTGATTGACTGTTCTTCTCCTCCTCTTCCTCATTATCCAACCACCCATTTAACCCCCACCTCCTGTCCATCTGTTCATCTGTCCATCCACACATCCCCCACTCATCTCTTGTTCTATCCATCCTTCCATTTCCCATTTTTGTCCATCTCTCCCTCCCTCCCTCCCTCTCTCTCCATCACCCACTCTTCCTTTCATCCCCTACTTCCTATTCATCCATCCATCCATCCATCCAATTCTATCTATCTATCTATCTATCTATCTATCTATCTATCTATCTATCTATCTATCTATCTATCTATCTATCTATCTATCTATCTATCTAT